TTATTTTTCAAGAGTATATTAGTCTTCAACTTTAATATTTTTGAAAGTGTGGCATTAATGTATACCATAACTAATAACACCTAAAAATTAAAATTATGCATCCCTAAATAGTCTGAACAGGGGCCTCCCTCTTGGCTCAGGGATTAAAGTCTCAGCACTATCAAGCTATTGCCAGCCACTGCGGCATGAGTTCGATCCCTGACCAGGAAGCTAACCCACATATTGTGCAGCAGACCTCTCCTGTTTCGCCTGCTGCTCCCCTCAGTAATGTATTACAGTAGATCCGCCTATTCTGCTCTCCACTCTGTCTCTGGTGAATCCTCTCACATCCCACACCTCTGGCCTACACCACAGTTTTTGTACACATAAATAATAAAAAAAATCTTAAAAAAAATAGTCTGAACATTAAAAGTTAAGCATTAAAACAACTAAAATGAAAGGGGAAAATTTTCAAAGAGCTTCTGTATATGTGGGTTATAATTATTGGCATTTACTGCGTTAAAAGTTAAAATTGAGAAAGTAAAAGAAATATTAATTCACTTAAAATAATAGTAAACTCATTACAAGTTCATAAAATTTATGAAAAATAACTATTTTTAAAAGGAAAAAATTGAGTGCTTTTTTTTTTTTTTTTACATTTTTACCAGATTCCTTACCATCTACCTAAAATCTAAAAGGTTTGTTTTGTTTCTAGTTCCATAAGTGAGTGAAATCTTATTTGTGTTTGGTATTTGTCTTTCTCCCTTTATTTCACTTAACATAATCCCTTCACGGTCCATCTATGTTGTTGTGAATGCAAGATTCATCTTTTTTATAGCTAAGTAGTATACCATTGTGTATATATAATGTATCTTCTTTATCCATTCATGCACCTTTGTGCACTTGAGTTGTTTCCCCATCTTGGCTACAATGAACACAGAGATACCTATGTCTTTTTTTTTGTTTTCATATTCTTCAGGTAAATATTCAATAGCGGGATTACTGGATCACATGGTAGTTTTTTTTTTTTTTTGAGGAAACTTCATATTGTTTTTCTTAGGGGCTGAACAGTCTACATTCCCATCAATAGTGTATGAGGGTATCTTTTTATCCACATCCTTGCCAACCAAACAAAAGTCATTAACCTATTCACATCTTCTCTGTTACTGTCACTACTCATTTTTATTATACCATTTATTACTTCTTGACTTTTTGATAACAGTCTGGTATGAGATAAACTCTTATTGTGGTTTTGATTTGCATTTCCCAAATGTATTTTTATTTATTGGTCATCTGTATATTTGTGTCTTCTTTAATTTCCTTTGGCAACATTTTGTAGTTTTTAGTGTACAAATCTTACACCTCCTTGGGTAAGCTTATTCCTAAGTATTTTATTCTATTTAATGATATTGTAAATGAAATCACTTTCTTAATTTCCTTTTCAGATAGTTAATTATTAGTAAACATAGAAATACTAAGGTAATTCATGGGTGTGATTATTTTGACAAGATGTTTATGACTTGACAAATGATGGTTTTACAAAAATATATGAGGTTCTATTGGCAAATGCAAAAACAAACTAATATATGTAAAAGTAAAAAACAATGGGAACATTATAATATGGATTGTGCAAACATAAGGAATTTGATAGTAGTCCTAGATTACGTCACCATATTTCATGATTTAACAGTCTTCAAGAACTCAGATAATATACTAAACTGTAATAAGTCAATTTTTTCACAGGTGGCATAAAATTCAAGTTACTGAATATCTGAACACCCAGTAATGCACTAAAATTGAAATCACAAACAAGAAGACACTTGTAAAACAATTTGTCTTTTGAAAAGTAAAAGCTTTAGACTTTCTATAGGCAGCTTTGCTTTACTTCTCAGTTTTGTTGTATTTTCCATATATTTCAACTTTGATACAGATTTTTAGTAGTCTTTATTATATGGATAGCTGAAAAAGTTGACATAATCACTTAAAATATCCTTACTTATGCTGTAATTATAAGCCAAAAGCTTAGCTAGAAAGCCTGGGTCCAAATCTCAGTTCTGTTATTTCTGAGGCAAGTTATCTACTGTATGTATTGTCTACTTTGAATCTGACACACTTGTAATAGTCTCCATTTTACAGATGATCAAACTGAGGTCCTGGGATGTTAAATTACCAGTATACATCTCAGAGGAGATATAATACAAACCCAGTTTTGACTTGAATTCTACTTCATCACATAAGATACTAGACTGCAAAACTTAGTCCTAAATCACTTATCTTTTCTGGGTCCTTTTTCCTTCATCTGAAAAACAGGAGATCATTAAGTATTTTCAGTTTTTTAATCTTTAGACTTTATACTCGCTAAGTTCTCTTCTTTTTAAAATATCATTATCTGTGACTCACAACCATTGGTTTTTTCCTTTGTACCAGAATGTTAGTAGTGGAGACAGTCATACTACATTTTTGCCTAACAAATGTACCAAAGAACCACCAACTTAGGAAAAGACAAAATTTAGTTAATTTGGCTATAAAACAAATCCCAGTGGTTTTCCTAAAAAAAAAAAAAAAAAAAAAAAAACCAAAAAACTCTCCACTCCAAAAAGAAATAAACAACAACAACAACTATGTTTTCAAGGTAAAGATATAATATACTAATCACTTTTGGTGAAGAATAAGCAGGAATAATTTTAGGGTCCATGGCATTGTATGTGTTAAAGGAGTACCCTAAAAGTAGAGGGGAATGTATTTGTGAAATGTTCTTGATTTCAGGCACATTTCAACCAGACACCCACCCTTTCCTAGACCATACTATTTCTCTCATGCTTACTAGGAAATTAGTGGAATCTGCACCACTTTCTTTTCTTCTATTTTAGCATAGAAGAACTAGGCTGGAACACTACTTCATATACCTCCCTAGTGGCTGTTATTATTGAATAACAATTCAAAAAATAAAGAGTCAGGCACTAGAGGGGAGGTTAAACTATTAGGTAAATTATAGTGTCTTCCACCATTGAGAGTGTAAAATTTCCTTTTCTTTCTTTCTTTTTCTTTTTTTGATTATAAGTCTCAAGTTTTATTTAAATAACCTTCAGCGAGAACAGAGTGGGCCAACCACTACCCCTCCCCTGTAACAGCAATTACCCAAGACAGTGCAGCCTACAGCCAGCCTGCCAGCCACTCATGTGAGGAGTGGGGTGCCTCTCAACAGGGACTGCCACGATCTTGGCCCTGATCAGCAGCTGTGGTCGCATCCACTGTTGAGTGAGGGCTCTTGATGGTTTTATCTTCTGACACGATATGGCACATGCCAGATACTTAGTCAAATATTTGTTGAATGCTTACTCAGGGCACTGTTAACCATTTTGTTTCACACAATTAAAAAAATTAATTTACTTTCTTACATTGTTCATTTTTGTACAGCATCTGGTTTCTCCCCTCAGTGTAGTCCCTGTAGTTCTCCCAGCTTGATAGCTGGGAACCGCCGCATAGTCCCTTGTGCTCTTCCCTCCAGTTTTGACACCTCTCTTCCCCTCCTGTGCTGTATGCCACTGACCTATGTATGGTCAGCTTGCAAACTTTGTCCTTTATTTTTTAAACCTTTTGTTCGTTTTTTCTATATTCCACATATTAGTGAAACCATTCAGTTTTTACCTTTCTCTTGTCTGGTTTTTTCACTTAGCATAATCTCTTTCAACTCCATTCCTATTGCTGCAAATGGCATGAGTTTATCTTTTTTGATTGCTTAGTATTCCATTATAGTTTCACACAATTCTTTAAAAGGCCATTAAATGCATTTTGGCTTCCTTTTCCCTTTTGTAAGGAAATAAAAGGTAATTCCCTTGTTTTTCATACAATCATACAATTTTTATCTCCCAAGGTTAAGGTGTAGAGATGCCAAATACCAGAAGCATTTTTTCAGCGACTCCAGTAATACACAATTCTGTTGCAGTGATTAAAAAAAAAAAAAAAACACAAAAGTATAGCCTATTGATAACTAGTAAGAAATATAGAAAGAGCTCAACAGAGGAAACTTAGAAACATCGAAATGATTTGACTTTCTATGCAGCCCCAGGATGTAGTACATTTCCAAAGATAAACGTTATAGAAAGTAAATGACATTATAGAAAGTAAATCCCCTCATCCAAACTTTAAAAAAAAAACAAAACACAAATGATTTGAATACTGAAATAGTTGTTCTCAGGGCCACTTGCCTTGAATGCTTTAAAGAAGCAAGGAGGAAAAGCTGAATTACTAGATATTCTAACACACCTTTCAACAAGGATTCCATAATTAACACCACTATTTTGAATTCTTTAAACACGACAAAACTAGTGGCTACTGAGTTCTTACTGGATTCACGAAACGAAGTGGTCAAGCTTAGGGTTCCCATTTTTCTCACTCCAAGAGACAGCCCTTAGTTGAGGGAAGGGCAAGATAAAAGGATGGATTTTCCTGCTAGGATCTTGTCCTTTCTACCGTTCAAGTAAGTTTGGACACATCTTTTGCGGGACCTCCACTAAGAGACCAAATGTACCATTCAAGCAACACTTCTTTTTAAGGCAAGGAGGAACAGGGAGGTAGGAGGCATAAGGAAGATGTTTTTAAAGGCGGCGCACGCAGGAAAAAGAGCGGCTCCAGGTCAGAGCCTACACTTCGTGGCGCTTAGAAGGGAAAAGAACAGCCAAGGTAGACTAGCGGGGGAAGAGACACCTCCCCCTCCCCCGAGAGCGCAGGAAGAGCGCCAGGGGTGCCGCGGCCTCGGGGGGAGCGAGGCCCGCGCCTAGGCGCCGCCGGCACGCATGCGCGACCCGGAGTCGCGGCGCCCGCCCCGCGCGGCCGTCACGGTCTGCGCCATCCCCGCGTCTGCCCGGCGCGGAGCTTCGGGCCTCCACACCCGAGTCCGGCGGCCCCGCTTGCGCTCTCCGCCTCCCCTGCCTGCCAGACTCCGCCGGCCTTGCAGTCCCCGCGGCGGTCGCGACGTCGGCGTCGGCCGCGCTGCTTCGGCTGCGGGGCGCGCTTCAGCCCGGGGTCGCGGCGGCGATTGGCCGGCCGCGGCGCCCGCTCCCATAATGCAGCGCATGGCGCGTCATTGAAGAGAGACCATGATGGCGGCGGCGCTGGGGCCCCCAGAAGTGATCGCTCAGCTGGAGAACGCAGCCAAAGTTCTGATGGTGAGTACGCCGCGCCCCCGCGTCCCGGCAGCCGCGGGTGTCGGGCGGCCTTGCAGGGCTAGGCCTGGCTGCCCACTGGGCTGCGACCCGCGAGGGTCTCCAGGGAGCCCCGGAGGTGGAGGAGGAGGAGGTGGCGGTGGCGTGGCGCAGAATTCTCCATCCTTTCCTCCTGCCTTTAGTCCCTGCTTTCTGGGGCTCCCCCTTTTCCCTATATCTCTGGCACCCCAGCAGGACGGCGGGTTAGGGTAGTGTAGAAGGAAGGCTTCCTGTGCCACGGTCTTCGATTTACACCCTGCTGGGCGGACTGGGTCCAGAGCGAGCACAGGGAGCTAGGTCGGGTCATCTCCGCAGAGCTTGGTAGGGGGCTGTTTGCGCGCAGCTGAGGAGTTGGTGCCAAGAGGGAAGAGGTGGCTTACCCGGGTACTGTAAGCAATCCTTGTTTCCTTCTTGTATTCGGATCCCCGAGAGCTTTTTCTGTTCTGCAGTCACCTCGGGTAACCCAGCCGGCAACACGTGGAAGGACCGGCAGGAGACAGGGAGGGGGATCTTTGGGACCAAGGTCATTGGGGCAAAACTTGGTCCAGTATCTCTCTGTGGGTCGCGTCTTAAGGAGAGCTGTGTCTAGGGTGCATATGTTGACTTCATTCTTAACACTGTACAATAAACCGTTTGATGAGTGGATTATTTACCCAGGGAGTTTGAGGAGGCCAAGTGAAAGGATAAAAAACATTCCACTAAGGAATAGAAGTAAGAATAAACTATTTCAGTTGCTCAGTGAACTGTGTGTTTTTATTTGCTGGTTCAGTTTTGCTTTTATAAATTATGATTACCGTGTTTGTAGTGTTTTTTTTTTTTTAAATACAAAGTTTAGAGGTTCATTTGAGTGCTTGAGTTGATTCACCTTTCTAAGAATTGAATGTAGCGAGTCTTGTTACCTTTATGGTCTCTCCCCCCCATTTTTTTTTTTTTGGTGTTTGGGTTCTATGTTGCAGCATCCCACCCATAAATTCATGAACAAATTCTATCATATTTTGTAGTTCCATTTATTAAGTTCTGTTTTCACACACAACATTAGATAGCTCATGAGATTTAGCTCATGAAATTCAAAGTCCAATAAAAAGCAGAATTTACTTGGTTCATCATGAGCAAAGTTAAATGAATCGTTTTGTCACAAAACTGAATAATGTTTTCAGACTTTTTCAAGTTAAGCCCAGGAAAAAAACTACCTCATTAGTATCCCTCATAATATGTACAAAGATCTTAAAATCCCTGACATGAGAGCACGTGCTGAAAAACCGGAACATTTTCTAGGAGCTAAGTGCTCTATTTTCATTAGACTCTGGAAGGAGTATGTGACCTAAAAACACTGCATTAGTTCTTACATTGACAAGGTAAAATTAATATCTTTTTATCTTTAGCCTGAATATTAGCCTTTCTCTTTGCCAGTACCTCTCCCCTTTCCTAGCAAAGTTACTTTTATCATATATAAGAGGGTAGATGAGAAGATAGTAGTAAGTACTGTTTATTACATTGCCACATATTATGCTTGTTATATTTTATACTTTATTAATTATCATAATAGCTTTACAAGGTTGAGAGAGTTTGAGTGGTTGAATTAGATTTAGAACTGAGATCTAAGGGTGAGTGAGTCTCTTTCCACTCTGCCACTTCTTAAATATGTGATAAAGATATTCAGTTACATTTTCTCCCCTTAATTGATGTAACATTAGTTTACAACACTGTATATGATTTCAGGGAGTAAATTTCACACATCCCCCCTCCAGACATATGTCACCACACTATTTACATACTTCTAAATCATTCCAGAAAAGACTATTTGAGAAAAATGTTATTAAAAGTAGAAAATTTTTGGAAATTTCTACATATCTTCAACAATGTCTCAGTATCAGTTACTGTGTTATTTCTCATATGAAAGCTACATTCTGGTTTATTAATAGTAATAGTTCAGGGCCTCCCAGGTGGTGCAGTGGTTGAGCGCTGGGTTGCAAAGCTGCCCGCAGCCTCTGCAGTGCTGGTTCGATCCCCGGCTGCTCCCCAACCACCGGAGGAGGGTCCCACATGGCGTGCAGACCTCTCCTGCCGCCCGCTGCTCCCCTCAGCAGTGTACTTCAGTCCTTCTGCCTACTCTGCTCCCTGCTCTGGCTCTGGTGAATTCTCTCACCCTCCCGCGCTTATGACTGTATCCAGTGCTTGTAAATAAATTAAAAAAAAAAAAATAGTAATAGTTCACATTGTTGTAAGGTTCTGTGCCAAACACATATATTACCTTATTTAATCTTTAATAAGATGTTGTTTTCTTTTTCTAGACTAAGGAAGTCAAACATGTAGATGCTACGTAATTTACTCATTTTTTTTTTTTTAAAGATTTATTTATTTTCATACAAGAACCGGGGTACAGGCCAGATGCGCAGGAGGGTGAGAAGATTCACCAGAGACAGAGTGGGGAACAGAACAGGCAGACTGACGAAATACACTGCTGAGGGGAGCAGCGGGCGAGACAGGAGAGGTCTGCTGCGCCATGTGGGATTCTCACAGGCCAGCAGGGATCCCACCCACCCTGCAGAGGCTAAGGCTCTCAACCCCCTGCCCCACCAGGGAGGCCCTACTCATTTTTTTCAAAGATTTATTTTTTTTTTTAAAGATTTATTTATTTATTTATACAAGCATTGGGTACAGTCAGAAGCGCGGGAGGGTGAGAGAATTTACCAGAGCCAGAGCGGGGAGCAAAACAGGCAGATTGACGAAGTACACTGCTGAGGGGAGCAGCGGGCGGCAGGAGAGGTCTGCGCACCAGGTGGGACCCTCCTCCGGTGGCTGGGGATCGAACCGGCACTGCAGAGGCGCGGGCAGCTTCGCAACCCAGCGCTCAACCACTGTGCCACCGAGGAGGCCCTCAAAGATTTATTTATGCATACAAGAACTGGGGTACAGATCAGAGGTGTCGGGGGTAAGAAGATTCACCGGAGATAGAGTGGGAAACAGAACAGGCAGATTGACCGAAATACACTGTTGAGGGGAGCAGCAGGAGAGACAGGAGAGGTCTGCCTGCCATGTGGGATCGAACTCGTGCTGCAGGGGCTGCAGATTGCTTCATAGTGCGTTGCTTAACTCCTTGTGTCACCAGGGAGGCCCTACTCAATTTTTTAGAAATTTATTTTTTTATAGTCAAAAGGCAGCTTTATTATAAAAAGAGAAGGAAAGTAAAGGATGCTTACACAGACACAAGCGGGCAGAAAGAGTTGCCCCGTGAGAGGGACAGGTTTGTTAAACGAAAGGCCTGCATGGTCACAGGCAGGCAGCCTTGACAGAAGAGCTGCCTCTGCTGATTTGCAAAGGTTAGTGAAGAGAAACACCGGCATAGTCACAGGTGGGCAGGAGAGCTGCTGCCATTTACTTAACCCTTAAAGGAAACTGGTAGAGTTGGGACTCCAACTCACATCTGTTTATTACTGTAGTGTCTGTGGTTCTTAACCTGTAGGTCGTGGGACTAGAACATGATTAAATCACTTTGAAATATTTAAGATAACAAAGCTCTTACAATTATTAAGCATTAGTGTATTTTTTTCAAGTGGTGGTTTTAGCATTTATTCACCTGTGAGTCTAAGGAAAGCTTGTTTATAGACAATTGCTCTGTTGTGTAATTGTTAAGTTTTGAGAATAATTAATGAGGTAAATAATTAGTGACATCTTGTACAATTATTTTATTTTTCCACTTGGTAGTCCATTTAGTTCATGAAAATTAGAGTTTTAGTGTGTAGAACAATCTCAAGATAAGCTTTTAATATTGTGGTCTTATGGAGTCCACATTGGATATGAGAAGCAAAATTTGGGTGCATACATACTTTTTTTTGTATGGGATCGATAACATTCATCAGGTTCTCTCAGGAAATAGAGACCATGAAATATAATAACCTAGTCTAAGCATTCTCCCTTCCATTCTGCAGATGGGGAAACTGAGGTTCAAAGAGGTAGAAGTGACTTGCCAAAGGTAGGTCACAAAGCAAATCTAGTGATAATACTGATTCAGAACCCAATCACCAGTCTCCTGTTTCTGAACTCTTAAAATTTTTATTCAACCATATTGCTTCTCAAAGTCAGTGTAAATATAACATCATAAAAATTGCATTTGATTACTTGATGAGAAATTTCTAAATGTGTTTTTAGATATTGCAGTTGTTTCACTGTGAGCCCCTGTTTTATCAATCTTAATAGGTTATTGGGTAAGCTGTCAAATAAAACATACACAAAAAAGACATTTATGCATTTCATAGGTCTCAATATAAAGTAGTAATGGGGCTTATTTTCTGTCGATGCGTGTACATACTTCTTAATCTTCTAAGTCAAGACAGTGAGTGTGTTTTATGTACAAGGTATTAGCTAGAAAATAAATGTGAAAGTAAATAAATTAGAATGAGGAAGAATTGTGGTAAATTAGTAACAGTATGCAGGTGAAGTTACCTGTTCAGAAAAAAACCGCAGACAAAGGTCCTGAAAGTTCGTTTAAATAGATCCTGAAAATTTCTTTTCAAGATTCCAGTAGCTGGCCATTGCTTAAGATACCTAACTTTAAATTTATATACACTCAGATTAAGTGAAGTCCACCACACTTCTGTACTAACATTCTCATCAGTGATAATACTGTGTTAGCTTTGACTGTGTTAGTAAGTTCACTTACAACCTGAACATTTGATTTGGTAGTTATATTTTATGATATTTAAAAGATATAACTAATACTGAGATATATTTTCAAGCATATTAACACACAACTGTATAGAATGAAGTGAGTCTCCTTCTTTTCCCTTTCCCCCGCTCTCAGTCCATTTTCCTAAGTGATCCATATCAAGTTTATACTTTGAACTTTTTTCCTGTACATCTACAATATATATTAGTTTTTTTTAACATAAATAATGCAAACGTTCTTGATTTTAAAAATTCTTAGAGATGTCTTTCTAAATGATGAATTCATTTTGTACAGGAAG